TCGACGACAGTAGATCAACACCGACCCCAGGGCCTGTCGACGGGAGAAAAGCGTCCAGAGGGGGCGGAGGGGGAGCAAGATCAATACCGCTGACAGGGACAGGCGTTGGCGGCAGAAAAGCGTCGAGAGAGGGTAAAGGGGGTTGATGATCTACGTACGTGCAATGAGGACGCAGACAAGGTGCATAGGGAAAAAAGACGTACCACGAAAACCAGAGAACGGAAAGGGATCGGAAGTGGACACGTCAGGTGGCCGTTCCAGAGGGCCAGAGACCGCAGACTGCACAACACCGAGATCAAGAGAGGAAACATCGGAACGATGCGGGACTGCAGGGGATAAACCAGCACTGGCCGGTGCACCTGAAAATGACAGATATGAACAAAAGGAAGAGTAAAGGCAGCTAAAAAAGATGCACTTGGAACCAAAGGAGCTGAAGAAGACGGAAAAGCATCCAACGGCTGGCGTCGAGTACGACGAGTACGAATAGCCGTCAAAGCATCGTTGAAAGCAGGACGAGAGTCAAAAAAAGCAGACCGAGTGCAATAGAAGAGGTAATCTCCGTTGAGGGGGCACTTGAATTTACGGGTACAGTTGTGGACAAACAAAGTCCACAAATAGCCTGTAGCCCTAACGGGATTTTATTTTGACTTACTTTCAACTGTTTTAGACTCAGATTAATGCAAAGAGCTCAAAAAACCTACTCCGAAGTTTTTCCCACGACATTTTATAGGCCGCCAAATTTTTGGCCCAGATCCAAATCTCAGATTTGTGATCGGAGATGATTGGTGAAAAACGGGGTTTTTTTGGCACAGCCACATCATGTGATTACATTATCTACCCCCTGGAATTGTCAATTGCTCTCTGCCGTGACTCTCAATTGCATCAAAAGCCTTGTTTGAAACTGAACGATGCTGTTTCTTCTTCTTGACAGCCCAATCTGCTGCTGTGCCTGTCAACCCCCTGCGGTAAGCATCCATAAACCTCCATGATTTGTTGATGAAACGACGGATCACTGTAACTGGACATCCATCCAGATACTTCAAGGCCAATTCCTTTGAGTCTGCAAAACTTTTTTTGGAACTTGCCGGTAGCGGTATTTGCACCATCCCCAATACTGCCAAAATAAATTAGTTCAAAAAAACCATTCAAAAAAATAATATACCATCTCAATAGGATTGAGTTCACAATGAAATTTAGGGAGAAATATGCACAGATGTCCAGCTTCAGTGATCACAGTTTCGAGCATAGATGGTTGGTTAACAAAGTCCTCTTGCTGACTGAGAAGACGTGCCATGCAGCACCCTGTACTCTCGAATGGGCACACAGGAGAACATTTTGCTTTGAGGCCTGAGACATCAAAGCCTCGCTCTACCAGTAATGAATCAGTTGACTCTTTCAGCTGACTGTTCTGAAAATGAGTCAGGCATGTGACCAAGAAATATCATTTAATTGCGGCACATCCACTCGATGGATTTTCACGATTATTTGATATTCAGATGCGGCTCATCAAGGCGCATCGATTGCGCATTTTCCTGTAATTTTCCCACGACTTTTGATCGGCCGCCAAAATTTTGACCGGCCCGGATATTGATAGATGATTTGCCGGCTAACGGCTCGACAAAATCACTTAATTTTTATATGGATGTGTTCGCCTTGGTGAGATCTATCGATCCATGTACTTATCTCGGCTAAAAAAATCGATTTTCTTTTTGGTGGACTTTGTCTGTCCACAACTGTACGCTCGACCGCTCGCACTTTGATGCGCTCGCTGCCATCACCACCGCTATCCTTGCCGAGCAGCCGCCGGCGGAGGAGCCACAACCCCCGACTCTCCGTCGCTCGCCTCGCACCAGCGACGAGCCCGTTGCCTCCGGGAGCACGTCGAGCGCTTCTGGACACCCCAAGCGTCCGCTTCCCGAGGACCTGTTGCAGGTTACCCAAGGCTCGCCTAAACGCCGTGCGTATTCCTTTTCCTCCCCCCCCCGAAAAAGAGAAAAAAAAAAAAAAAAAAGGGGCGCTGGGCGCTGACTCGCTGTTTCAGCCCGACGTGAGCAAGAGCCCGAGCCAGAAGCCTCGGAAGACAGCGAGTCCAAGGTCTACCCAGATGAGCGGCGGCAGGAGCGAGAGAAGCATACTCGCGCCAAAGGCAAGGCCACCCGTGAAAGAGCTGGTGAGGCACCAGTTCCACCGCGCGCTCTATAGCCATTACAGGCTGACATTCCTGACAGCACAAAAGCTGCTCGGTCCCGCCTCACCACCTTTCGGGACGTTGCTGATCTCTCTGTCATCGGAGCCCTTCGCACGAAGACGGTCTCCCTTGAGATCGGTCCGCAGCTCGAAACCCTCGCCCGTGCTCTTAAGAATGAGCCACTCGGTGACGGCGCACCGCAGGCGATCACCCAAACATTCACGGCCTCCCACAAGCCCACTGCCGACTTGCATCTGCAGGAAGTTCTTCTCGCCTTCCACCGCCATCGAATCATGACAGCTCGCTGTCTGGCATATCAGTGGCTCGACCACTTCGTCGTACCCCGGCTGCGCGAGCACACGCAGCACATCCTCACTGTCAATAAGCCCAAGCACGCCGAGAGCAGCCCCAGCCACTGGCTTCACCGCCTCCTCATCTTTGTCCACGACAACGTCGACGCCAGCGAGCATGGGGTCCGTCCCCGTCGAGGCTTCTCACTTTGCCATTGGTTTGACCTGCAAGTCGCAGCTGAGGGGCCGCTTTTTTCTCGCCGCGGAAAAGGAGGACTTGCTCGTCCAAACCGCGTTGTTCCTCTTGATGTCCTGGCTCGGATACCAGCAGATCACCAAGTCAACTCATGAGTACATCTCTGCACGATTCATCACCCACCTCGTCGATGTTGCGGGCCTGCACGCACTCTTCCTTGAGCCGGTCTGGGCTGCGTTCTGTCGGCCAGACAGGCTGCTAGCAGGCTGCACCAGTACCAAACTCAAAGTGGAGCTCGAGGAGTGGCAGGTTGCACTGGAGGCCAGCGCTGTCGCCCGATCCGATAGCGATGAGTGCCGCGTCCTCAACGAGGTCGGCAACATCTACGACCGCATTCGACAGCACAAGAAGCTTCCCATCCCGCCAGCCCCGCGTGCAAAGCCAACTCCCTGTCACGCGAACATGCTAATTTTCTTGCGCCTCGCACTAGTCCTCGTGCGCTCTGTGAGTAACGATCCCCGCCGCTGTTATCTGCCGCTGACGCTGCCCAGCCCGGAGCACATGCCTCACTGCCCGCTGGTTTCGACACCAGCCAGCGCCAGTATGCACTCTTCGCGCACATGCTCCAAAATACCGACCACCGGCTCCCCATTCGCGCGTCGGCTGATGCCTACCTCCCCCTCCTCGAGCCCGGTGGTCCGCTTCATGGGAACAAGTTGCGTAGCATTCCCGGCCTCTTCAGCATGGGCTTGTTCCGTGGGACGACCTACCACTCCCCGTTCGCGCTGGTACATACCTACTTTGAGGACGCCGACGCCTTCCTCGACCTCGTCAAAGACAGGCCTCTGCACGAGTTCGCCGTCGACAACTGCTACGGCGGCCAAGTTCAGGGCAGCCGCAGCCGGCAGTATGTCGAGCACGCCCGCATCCTATGGCAGACGGCCAACAATCCAGCCGCGAACTATTGGCTGCTGGGCCACCCAGCGCCCCAGCCGACTCCACCTTCCGAACGCCCGAGGAAAAAGGGAAAGAAGAAGCAGACGCCTGCGAAGCCCAACCCGTCTCCTTCCCCCAAATCGGAATCCAACGAGCCGCCGGTCCCCAAGCCAACGTACGAGGAGGTGTTCAGAATCGTGACGAGCAAGACTCACAACTTCCCCTTATGCGGCGACCTTGCGGGCCATCTGCTCGCTGCCGACTATGCCGACGCCGGTGTCTGCACGCCCCCCGACGAACTCACCATGGCACGCGTGATCTGCAAGATTAACGCCGGCGCAATCTCCGGCTTGGAGGCGCTCGATTATTACGCCGACTCCAAGCCGCTCGACTATGTCATCCAGCGCTCGTTTGTGGACTTGTACCGCTACCTGGACGGTCAGCTCACCGACGACGAGAAGCAACATCTCAACTGGGGGCCGATCTGCCTGGAGCATGCGCTCTGCAAGTATGGTCGGTTTGCTACGCATCCCTCCTTTTATTCGTATTTCTTGCCCACCTACTTTTCCGCTCGCTTGTTCCCTGGTTGACATTTTGTTCCATTTCCACCTGTACATGTGGCCTGTTTTCTTTATCTTGGAGCAATGCATCTTCTTGAAATCATGCTTCATCGTTTAACCACTCCAGACGAGCCTATGAAGGTCCAACAGGCTGTTCGTGCTGTTGTACGGGTGAATTTGCAAGAGACAATCACCAGCATGAGAGAGAAAGATCTCCAAATATCTCGAGAGATCTCGCAAGCGCTGGCTGTTTTCATTGGTCAGGACATTCTCTCGAGATCTCCGTTGACTGTTATTTCATACACATTTAGAGTGCATATCAGTAGATATACCTGTGACTTCAAACTCTGTCTCTTCAGAATTTCGGAAATTGTCCGTGGATCGTGAATCCCTGATAGTTAGATCGGTCATGTGATCTTCTGTGCTTCCTCAGCGAGAAACGGGAAAACCGCCAAAAATTACACCGGATAGGTTCAGATAGGCTGATTCAAAAGTTCATGGAAGATGAGCCTAACTTCAGGCCCGTTTGCCTACGTCCGTGAAAGTCGTCCGAAAGCGGATGCCGAATGTTGCCGAGAGGTCGGGCGAAAATCAAGACATGAAACCGTAGGACAAAGGCAGACGGTCTCCTACAGCTCAATGAAACCCATACCTCCCCTGCCCAGTCAGTGTGTCCCAGATACCGCCTTGATGACAGACTATGTAAGCGGTCGTGGTTTTTGGCAGCGAAGGCCACACATTTTTGAGACATCAAACGATGATCCAGTAGGCCTCCCAAAGCCCTCTGTGCATATACGCACTCAAAACACCAGTGCGAACAACTTCTGAAAGCTTGTTTAGCTCAACCGGTTGAGTGCTTGCAATTTGTAATGCCATCACACATTGTTTGCAATCAGATGTCGGTTCGATTCCGACAGCGAGCCCTATTTTCGAGTGTCGCCTTTTTTTGCGCTCCCCTGCTTAAGTTTCAAAATCACAAAGTCTTCTCTCAGACTGCCCAATACTCTGATGCTCCGCCAAAAAAAAAAAAAAAGAAAGAAAAAAGAAAGTCTTCTCTCTACGGGTTATCGAGGTGATGCAAGCCTACTGTCAATCACCGGGTACGCGGCCACCTTGCCGTTTTGCTTTAATCTCGAGATGTTTACTCATCGGATCGTGCCGCGGGGGGTTGGGAATGATGGCCTGCATCCTAGGAATCAGTAGAACACATCTGGCAGAATTTACATGAAGCTTGGATGCTTTCCTGGATTTTTTCCTGCCGGCATCCCAAAATAGGCCACAACCAGGTAGCCGGCCACCCGGCTAAACCCTTCATTCCAGGTCGTGTTGGAGGCCCCGGCGTACCTGGGTAAGAGTAAGACATGCAATGGGACTACTACATACAGTTATATCAGACATCCGAGGTATGGGGGCAAAATGAATATTTGTTTCCGCACGCCACTTACATAGGCGGGATCAGGGTCATGAACGAACAGTGCCGTACGTGGGAGGCAGAGGACACGGTGGGCCAACATATGGTGGGATTGTCTCCATGTGAAGGCTAAAGACATACAAGATCTGCCTTTGCTTCGCTCCGGCGTGGAGACAGACGGACTCGGTTCAGGTGGGAAACAGCTCGAATGATATTCAATGTGCAGAAAACTGCCAGCGGTGAAGCAGCAGCGTTGGGCGATGCTTCAAAAATACGACCGTCGCAAGCTGCATAAAAAAATAATTAGGGAAATCCATCCAGACTGTGCCCCTTCCATGCGTGGTGGTACCGAAGCGGGGGCTACTGTGTCCGACGGGGCCTCCTCGGATGTCTTTGTCGCGGCTGCCCTACCCAAACGCATGTGTGAGTGTTGCGATGCATTGCGACACATTTGACGGGGCAGCAGAAAACAGACAGAAGGGAGTGAAGGCACAGCGTGCCTCGCGGGATAACCAGCTGGAAAAAACCGGCGCTGCAAGAGACACAATTCAGGAGGGAAATGGGTTTCTTGAAGCGAGTGGCTGACCTCCACAATAATCGGCCCTCGAAGTTGCGTTGGATGTCGATCACATTCAAGCCGGCAGAAAGAATATCGAGTTGCCATCCGCTGAGCCCTTGTGCCAGATGCGATTTTTTGCCGCCAGAGAATTGTTGAAACTGCAGGAGAAGAGCCGGGCAAGTAGCTTGAGGTGTCCTAGAGCTCCAGTGGCGGAAATTCCGTAGACATGGAAACAGGTTTAACAAAGCTCATACATAGACTGTCTCAGATGAATTACAGAGCGAAAGGGAAAATGAGGCCTGGATTTGGAGGGAAGCGAGGGAGATTCCGGAGCGAAGGAATGCTGACGGCACTCTCTTTATATTCGAGAGGCAGTGTACGTGGCCGCAGTTCAACAAATCAGTCGAACTGTGGCGGAGTGAGAAAACTGGGGGAAATTCTTGACTGTGGAGGAGACCTAGGCCAAACGGGCTCCATTGGATTACCTGCACCCTCCGAATGTGTCTTGTATTCTACAGCCCGCAGTTGTTGAGCTGGTATCCCGGGCCTCGGACGGATGATCCGTCACGGATCCAAAATCTGCGGCAGGTGTGAATATTAGCCTTGACGGAGACGAAGCAAAAACTGCGGTAAAGCTGTGCATGTTACGGTTGGAACGTGTACACTGGCTCGAACTGCGCGTTGAGGAAGCAGGATGAGGGGAGAGACAGAAGAAAGGAGATAACCTGCATGGGGATGGGGTAAAAAGCCGTACAAAGAATCGAGGGACATCTCGTTAAAGAACGGTTAATTTGGACCGAAATGTCATTGCCTGGGTGCTGAGAACTCCTCCAAAAAATCTTGATTTGCAGACGACAAAAATGAGGTGGTTTGAAATATTGAATGACACTAGGAGAGGAATAAAACACACATAATATTTACATACTGCTCAAACATTAGCATTGGCCATCCCCATCGCCCCTGCCAAGTTTCAGACCCGCAAGGTGTGCAGGTCGTGTGGTGTGCGAGCGGCAAGATTGCCTATTGATATCTGATTACAACTCTCGTCGGGAGCCCTGGAGAGCCGGATTACTATTTTTCACGGATATTAATGATTCAGATGGTCGCCCAGAAGGAGACAAACAGAACGACCCCAAAAAGCCGTGGGTGGACAAAGAATTGGTGGAGAAATGAGCGCGACGGCTACTCGGGGTTAACAAAATGATGTTCTCACCCTTCGGCCCGGGATCAAACGCGCCATAGCCCTCGATCAACTCATCAATCTGCCTCCAAATTTGGCATGGACCAGCGTCAGAGGTCGTACTTCCTGTCCCAAGCCCAAGTTCTTAAGAAAGTTAAGTATACATGGCTATATTATCAAATGGCTGACAACCTAGGGTGGCCGGGTTCCTGGTCTCTGATAGTATGGCAGTGCCAAAGCTAGCTCTGGTATCAAGCGGTATCGCGCTGTCTCGAACTGTCATAATTTTTCGTTTCGGAGACTGTATCGTACCAGCCGATACCGGCCGCTGCCCGGCGAGACGGTGTTTTCACTGGGGTTTAAACTCTGCTCGGCATCCACCGCCTGGGATCGATTTCGTGCCATCTCCATGGGTGGCCGAAGAGTAAGCTACGCGATCTTTACATCGAGCCCCACTTTCAAACCCTCGTTCTCCAACTTCTTCAATATCTTCTGACTGCGTGTCTTTAGCGTGTTTGCAACCACCTTTACGTCCTTGAGCCTCACGCAGGTGCGGGTGGCTCCCGTGCGGAACCGCGACTCTATCATGTTGACAGCTGCGGTTTCGTCAAACGTGCCACGCTGGAGCTCCAGCAGGAGCGATTCCACGTTGGGCCCGGTGGTGTCTTCCACGTCTGCGCACACCGTAAGCCCCGCGAGCACTCCATCCCCCCGCCGTGAATACGGCGTGAAGCACAGTTCCAAGCGGCTTGTCGTCGGCGCCGCGTTCAGCACCCCCCGCAGAGTTTCAGGAGTCTCACGCGTAACGCCGACGATGCGCAGCGTCCTCAACGCTCTCACGCCTCCCCGCGCCACCAATCGCACGAACGGGTCCGCGCTCGCGGGCCTCGTGACGCTCAGGTACACGAGCTGCGGCAGATTCACGCGATCCAGAAGGTCGAGGGAGTTGGAGTTTAGAGGGCACTGACGGTGCTCGATCTCCAGGCGCTGCAGCAAGGGTAAGCGGAGGGGGGTCGTTGCAGCCCCCAATCGCGGGTACTGCAGAGTCCAGACCAACGAGACGGAGTGGAGGTTCGGTGTGCGGCCCAAAACTAGATCGGGTAAAGTCGCGTCCCAGGGCGCGTGGAGATGCTCCAGCTGCTCGAATGGAAGCACCAACGGGTGGCGGAGTCCTTCGAGGCCCCCGATCACGAGGTCGCGCAGCTGCGGGCAGATCTCGAAGGGGTTCGTTTGGTTCGCGGTCTGTGTGTATTCCTCGAAGTCCCCTACGGTGAGGCTCAAGTAGTGCAGTCGTCCGAGCTTTCCGCGAACCCCAGCGACAGCGTTGAAATCCCCCGGCGTGAGCTCAAGCGTTGCGGCCTCCCATCGAGCTGCCTCGCGGACCAGCATCTCCAGGACGTCGCGATCTCTTGCGTTGTGTCCATAGGCGAAGATCACGTTCAGCAGCACATATCCCGAGCGCTTGAGGCGCTCTTCCATGGCTTTGGGGCAGTACCTACGTTCGTCCACGCCTATTCCCGCCCATAGCACCCCGGTGTTCAGCGCCGCACGTCTCCAACTGGTGCTGATCTGTCCCAGGTACCAAGGTACGTCGGCGTGGGCCGCCTGTGGACTGACCGCGACCACCGTTTGTGCGAGGATTTCGTGCATAATTTCCGGCGGGACTCGGTCGATAGCGCGTTGCACGTCCATGACGGGAGTAGTGTGCGAGGGACGTGACGTGCACGACCATCAAACGCGCAGAACCTCCTTCGGTGGCTGTCCTGAATCGTCATAAAATCCAATCGCCCACATTCTCCCACGCACCCGCTGGTCCGGAGCTCCCTGCAAGTGCGTCCGGGCGCTGCCCTGTGCCCGATGGGGTTCGGCCGTTAACAGCAGCATCCTCACGCGGAGAGTTTCGACGCGACCGTCCGCTCTGGCCCCTCAGAAGACAGTTGCGGGCTTTGCGGCCATTTTCCCGCCGCATGTATCTTTAGACCGTGCCCCCCGGGCTGCTGTCTGCGCCACACCCGGGCATCAGCCTCGGCGAGCGCCCTGAGGACCTTCCTTGCCCCTCGAACCCGACCAAAGAGTGGTATACCTACGGATGCCTGGCATGCGATGAAGTGCGCCTCAAGAAGCAGGTGTACGAAAACGTGCTCACTCCGCAGGATCTGTCTCGGGAGCCATTCAAAAGCAGTGAGGTCATTCTCCGCTCACCCAACACATCGCCTAAATCCCACAAGTACGGCACCTGCCCCGGCTCTGGGAGCACACCTCCCACTGCAACATCATGTACTACTGGTTTTTTCCCCCGCACAAGTACTAGCCCTCAGTCTAATTAGCTTTTACCCCAAATCTGCAGCTACCGAGCATACGCCGAGAGAGCGGAGCGCATTCTCCGTCGCGTGCGCGAGGAGCGGAACCTGTTCCAGGACAAGCTCCGCCGGACACATACCACGCTTTCGGCCCTCCGCAAGCAGCTGGCCTCTCTGGGACCGGAGGTTCTCGACAGCGTTGGGCGCACTCGCGAGCGCCGAGCATGAGGATGGAGGAGAAGAATCGCCGTTCGTCGCCCGCGGCGCCTGACCATCCGATACGCCACAGTCGGAGCGACTTTAATATATCCGATGGCCTACCGGTAAAGGTGCCTGCATTCGTTGCATACCAGAACGTCAGATATGACGGAGATCCCCGTTCGACTCGGGGTTGGGTAAATCTCAGTGTATTTTTTCTCCTTCGTGTCACTTGCTCTCTCAGTGTCGCACAATTATCCTGAGACCACAGGTTG